TGCTAATATTTCATTGAGGATTCGTGCATCTTTGTTCAGGAGAGAGTTTGGTCTATAGTCTTCTTGTAATGTCTTTGCTTGGATTAGGTATTAAGGTAACACTGTCCTTATAGAATGAGTTAAGAAGACTCCCTCCGGTTCTATTTTCTAGAAGAAACTGTAAAGACTTGGTATAATTTCTTCCTTAAATGTTTGGTAGAATCCACCTATGACCCCATATGGGCTGCCCAATCATTTCATACTGGATGTCAGACATTGTGAATTTTCGTTTTTTCAATGCTGGCTCCTTTTGTATTCCTTTACAAACTTTTAAATTTTGTTCTATTATACAGTTAAGTTACTTAGAAATAGATTGATTCTTTCAAAATCTTGCTTTTCAACTTCTTAAGCAGAACCAGAGTAGCCATTACTGTGGGGTTAATTTGGCCCTATTACTGAGGTAAAAATCACTCTGAGTCTTCTACGAAATGTCCCATGCATTAGGTGGCTTTTCCACTCTGGTGAACACATGATGGGGCAATCACACAGCACACTGTTTGCCTTCTTTCAGGGGTCACTATCTTGTACTGCCCATTTTCTAATAACTGAAAACCACCGTTTCTTGTATTTCATCCCAGTTTTTAATTAGAACCTTAGGGGTAAATTCAGTCTCTATTACTCTACATTGGCAAGAAGAGAAATCCCAGACTACCTAAATATGATTCCTGGCTCCACTGCCTACTGGCTGTCCAAAACTTGAATCAATTTCTCAGTGCTTTCTCATTAATGAGTGTCTTCTCACTTATAAAACAGGGATAATAATTATCTAATTTCTATAATTGTTGACAAAATTCAAAGAAATTATAGATAAACTGTTTTTCCCAATAAATTAAATATAAATTTGCATCTTGCCTCTCTTTCACTTCAAATTCTGTAGATTCTCATTTACAAATCTGAAATCTATTTTAAAATATCTGCTGTATTTAATATGAAAACTAGTACTAACAGTACTAATACCATTAATTTGAGTATTTTATGTGTCAGGCATTATGGTAAACATTTTGCACGTGAAGCTTCAAGTTCCCACATCTTTGTTTTCAAAATCAACTTAGAAATAAAATAAAATAAAGTTAGCTTATCTTTTAATATTCCTAATTCTAAATTTCCCCTTTTCCCTGTATGTGTTTTGAATTGACTTTTCCTTATCAATGATGGAATACAAAAACATTCTCATTCATTTACACTAAGAAGAAGGGAGCATGTAAATTATTTGCAGATTTGAAGTTCTTATTTCAATTTCATTTCAGAAGTCACCATCTCCTTTCCTTATACGACTTGTTTTCTCCTAGTTAGAGAAAGACAGTTCTAAGAACTGCTTTCTCCCCGTGACTATGCACCTGCCCCAGACATAGACATGGAAGGATCAGGGGATGGGATACAAGGACTGCTGGAAAATGAGGTGATGTTCACTCAGCATCTTCAGAAGAATTCCTACTCAAACTGAACAAGAAAACAGGGATAATAAAACATGCCTTTTTCAGGCATTGAGAGTTACCTTGGTCATGAGGGTTAAGATAACTGACTGTGACTGACAGAAAAGGCTACGGCCCAGGGTACCTGAAAGTGGAGCAGTCAGGATGCTGGCAGTGAGGTGAAGGTGGGGGGTGCAGACCTGACACTGAAACCTCCAACATGATAAAGTAAAGGACAAGATCATCTACTCAAGAAATTTAAGCATGTGGAATTTTAAATAATGATAATAGCAGCTAGCATCTGTTGAATGCTTACTATGTGCTAGTTACTTATCTAAGCACTTCACAGATATTAATTTATTAAATTCTCACAAAAACTTCTTGAGACAGGTACTGCTGATAACACCATTTTACAGATGAGGACACTGATGCAGAGAGTCACAGAGAGTTAGGTCAATTCCCAATATTATGCTAAGTGAACATCTAAAACATTTAAAATTTTACACACACGAAGTTACATTTTTGAGATATTCTAAACTGCCTTCACATAAAATAGTTTAATGAGTAAAATTTCACAAAGTCTTTTTTAAAAGGTTGCCAAAATCAATCCCAGAGAATAATCTGGGAGACTTGTGCCTATTGCAGTGTGGCTCATAGTGATCTGAGAAGGGTGCAAGTCAGAGAACTTGGAATATTTTTGATAAAGGAACCACCTGGGCTTAAAGCAGCACTCCAGATAGAACTTCAGAACCTACCAGAACAAAAAGGAAGTGTTTTTGGATGTTTCATGATATTCACTGACATATGAGTCAGGATAAGGACCTAACACAGAAGCATCACTTTTGTGCTACCAGTGCTACAGGAAAAAAACGGCATGTGGTAACAGGGACTCAAAAAAGTTCTCCTTTTTGCCATAGGAACTCTGGCTTCTCACTAGTCCCTGACAAGCCACGGCAGAGGTCAGCCAGTTTGGAAAGCATGACGGAATAATCTCACAGACCTGTCATTCTGTATTGTGTCACTGACAGTTCACATGATGCTGTACTTACTGCCCCTCTTTCGAGAACTGAAAACCTCTCCACTGAATTATTTTTCCTTCTTTCACTCATTTGGTCAATCAGAATAATCACCTGTACCTAAAACTCTTTGTACTTGTCCTTCATTACTCTGCAGAATATAAAATTAAGAGTCCTAATAAAATGAAAACACAATAGTACTTCTTCTGAATAACAACTATATATGCAACTTCAGAATTTCACCTGTATACAGACCCAGACATAATACGTACTTATATAGCCAAAGGCACTGAGAAATCATGATGTTATCTTTTTCATAAAAATATCTTCTTTCATATACTTTTAAAAATTCAGAATATCAAGAGGGACATGTGAATTCCTAGAATGCTTCTCAGGAAAACACTAACGAAATCTTCCTCAAGCATTCCCCTAAGAACCAACACGCTAAAGAACATTTGGTTATTTCTCTGTAGAAGTGAAAACGTACAAGTATTGTGTACGTCTTTAATTAATGCAAGAAAACCCAATTATTCTTGGTGCATCATGCTAATATATTTTACATCAGTTAAAACCATAAAATTGATAGACGGCCAAGAGTAGGCTTACTTTGAAGTTTTACTTCTGTTGCGTGATCTACATCATCTCACTAGTTTTCACTTTAATTATATAGAGAAACGGCAGTATAAAGATAAGTGATGGAATGAAAGCAGATACCCAATTATCCACTAATTAACATTGCTCCTGCATAATCAACTGGGAAATAGAAAGGAAAGAATGTGGGTCTGATTAGAAAGTTTTGCTTTTCTAGCTTTTACTAATCATGGCTTCTATGCTAGCCATTTATCTTCAGATTTCTAAGAATGTCAAAAGACATTCCAATTAGAAAATTAATGATGCCACTGGCACCTTAAAAATTTTAATGACTCTCATTTGGTCTTTCATGGGTGAAAAATAGAATAGTCATCAGATTTCAGAGGCAAGTTTCATTCTTAAAAAAAAAAAGCAATAAAACTAAGAAACTAGAGAATACAAATAATCATTACCAGATAAATATCAACATTAGATTTTAAAAGTATAAAATAAAACACTACTATCCTTAACCTCAGTAGTTACTCTCCAATATACTAAACCTACATTTTAGGCTAGAAATCTTCATCATTCCTTTTTTCCACAAGAAAATTTTCATATGCAGTTCCTTTAAGTGTGTCATAATACAGATAAATCTTTCATAATCATACATAGTATAGATTAACTGATCTCTACAAAATTATAGCAGTTAGATGGCCCCTAATCAGTACGGCAACTTCAAATCATTGGTAATTTCAAACTTAAAACTGTGGGTTGAGAGCTGGGGTACCTAAGTTCTACTGTTAACTTGGCTGCTGAGTTTCTGTGAGACCTTGGGCAAGTCACTTATCCTGTGCTTCAGTGTCTCCATTTGAAATAAAGAAAATAAGATATTCCTGCCCCATTTCACTGATTATTATAAAAGTGAGATCATCTGTGAAAAAAAATCATTTAAAGCCATAAATAATTTTTAAATGAAAAAGACTATTACAAATGCTTATAGTTTTCTGGTACTGTGTTATTAATGGACTGAAATGACCCAAAATTCATTTAGCTTCTTACATATCAATCATGGAACAGTGTGTTAACAGATAAATCAGTCTAATCCAACTAGTAAATGGTAAAGGAGAGTATATTTTAACTCTTAATTTCAAATAAAGACAATGCAATAAATATATAATGAAGATGTGTTTATACATAGAATGATTCTCATAACGAAAGACACCAAGTTATTTTTTTAACAAATTACACTAGCATTAGATTTCTTACTTGAATATAGCAGGATAAAATTGGTATTTCTCTCTTTCCATCTTGAAAAATTATCTTAAGAGTAACATAAAAAATAAGAAACACAAACCTCATTTTTGGCAAAATTAGGAGATGAACCACAAAATGAGTAGAAAACCCACCAAACATAACTGATACAGAATAGGGGGTAGGCTGTAGGCAGCAAAAGGACCATGTTGCAGTTGGTGATGTCAGAAAGAACAAACTGATGGTGAGCAGTACCATCTCAAGGGAGATGGGCACACCCTAAGATACAAACCCCTTGTTTTTATCAGTGGAAACAAGGAACATGGGATTACAACCAGAGCTCTCCTGAAAATGTTTTGGTTCCAAGAATTAGAGGGGGATAATGCTAAATAAGGAATCTCACAGACAAACTTGTGTTTGCCAAGAGAAGTCTGTCTCTGTGGGTGGAAAGACACTTTGTCTATCTCCACTGATTGGGGCAAAATAAAGGAAGAAAAGAAGAAAATCTAACAGCCAAAAAAGAACATTCACAAGAAAAATGTTGCTGTAGACGAGATGAAAATCATGAAAAACACTTGAATAGTAATTAATAAAACAATTATACAATCAACTCTAAGTGGAGATTTACAAAAAATATATAATCACAAAATTTTACTGACCAGAAGGCTAATACCTAAACTAGCATAATCAACTAGTATAATCAATCACTCACCTCTGATTCATATTTTATTTTTTCTTCTTCTAAAATACGTGCAAATTTTTCTTTCTGGTGTTCAAATTCTGATTTGAGAAATGTATGTTCATAGCGAAGCTTATTATACCCAGCTCTATACTTTTCCACTTCCTAAATTAAAAGAAGATTGTAATTTACCACAAATTTATAAATGAAATTTATATTCACTCCGAAAATCACTTTCGGAAAGATGACTATAAATTGTTTCATATTGAGAATCATTCTAAAAGTAAAAATAAGCTTAACAGAAGTATAAATAAACCTTGGAAAAGTTCTCATTACAAGTATCCTCCAAACAGAATTAGCACACCCCTGAGAAGGTACCAATAAAGCAAATTATCATTCAATTAATCTTATTCCCTCAGTGATTCTCATAAGAGAAAGGTATAGCATGTCAAAAGTTTTGACTTCTGAACTTAATAAAATATTTAAGAACGTAGCGCATATTTCAAAATACAGTTAGATTTAAAAAATTAATTCTATAACAAAATATAAAATAATACCCTAAATGTCAGATAGGATGAATTCAAAGTTGGTAAAAGATTGGTTGAATATTTAGTACAGTAACTTAAGGTTCAATCAAATATTACAATGGTAGTTCAACACAACAGTCTGAAGAATGTATGTAGCATCAACTCTCCTGACTAACCAAGAATACATGTAATTCCCTGGTATGCTCCAATTCTGCTTCCTAACACTACAAAAGTTGCCGGCACTCTGAATCTCAATAAGAACTTAGGCATTAGAGCAGAAAGATGAAGGAGACACTATTTCAACATACATCTGGAAATTAACAAGGAGATACTCAGCTCACTGTGAATCTTAAGTTGAAAGATTTCTCTTCTAAGTCACTTTATAAACCAAGAAAATAGGTTTCCTGATTTTATTAGAGACATACTTGGAGTTTTTTCTTCTTTTAATGCTTTTAAGTTAACATACTTAACTTGATCACATACCTTAGGTTTAAGTGATTTTGTTTATATCCAAAAATAAAATCTACTCCTAAACCATAATGTTTTGGTTATTAACCAGGAGGATACTCAAAAGATGACTTTATCAAGCCAGGAAGCCATTTATAAAAGGGGATTCCACTACTGTTTTGTGCAAAACAGCATCACTAGACTACAGCTTTTCAAAGGGGTCCATTTCAAAGAGGACAATATTCATTTGTATGTATAAGGACCAGTATATTTATTAAACAAGGTAACAAATACAAAATGTCTAGCATAGTACCTAATATACTCAACATCTGTCATCTTTTCCTTTTACCTTTACTCAACATTTAGTCACATTACACCAACATTTCATATGAGGAGACTGATCTCAATCTGAAGAGAAACAAATTTTTACTTTTCTGAGGTTGGATGAAATTCATTTTTTCATTCAGCAAGTATTAACTGAGCACCTGTCATATGCTAGAAAGTGTTTTAGGAACTTGAAATATAACAGTGAACAAAACAGATTCCTCCTCTCAGGCAATTTACATTCTAGAGATTGTAAAAGAAAAAATTTAAAATAAGCACAATAAATATTATATAGCATATTACAATACTATAAATACTAGAGAAAAAGAAAATGTAGAGCTGGGTAAATGGGAATCCAAAAGTTTAAGGAGCGGTAGGTTAGGCTGCAATATTAAATGGAGACGAGGGTTCGTCAAAGCAGGCCTCATTGAGAAGGTGACATTTCAGCAGACTCAAAAGAGATGAGGAAATTGGCAAAGAGATACATGGCAGGAGGAACAACTAGGGCAACGACTGAACTGCACCATTTCTGGAGTGCCAAAGAAACAGCAAGGGAGCCAATGTGGATGAAGGAATGGGATCTGATCCTGCGTAGTCTTAGAGGCCACTATAAGGACACTGAATAAGAAGGGAAGCTAAGCAGGGCCTTTAAGCAGGAGAATGATACTTTTAAACAAGTATTTCTCAGTCACATGAAGATAAAGGCATAGTCCTTCTATACAAATTACTTACTTCATCCAGGTTCCTAAAACGTTCTCTCATTGGGGTTTCTAGTTCTTGTTGTATTTGGGCTCGTAACAATTCCAACTTCTGTGGAGTTAATACCTAATATACAGAGAAACACAAACAATTCTAAATAAGATATCATAAATAGTAAATTTAAGAATTAGACAAATTTTAAAGCCTAATTATGACATAAATTCAACTAACAGAAATTTCAAAATACACCTAATTTTACAATAACTATCATATAAATAGAACTATCATTTGACACAATACTTAAAGAAACTCAGTTTCAGGCTCTCGGAGATGTCCAAAATTCCATTCACATGAGGTAAAGGCAATCACTAATTATTATCCTTATTACTGCTTTGTTAGGAATAACTATGTTGGCATCTAAGGTTATTTTGTTGGATACAGTGGTTGAGTGTATTTTCTAAAGCAGGCAAAATAAAGATGTAATAATTTGGTATATCACAGGAAATTCTTCAGGCTTATTTTCAGTAAGAAAAAGCAGATTTTTACTCTGACCACCAAAATTAATTTAGACTCCTCCCTGTTATACTCTTGTAGAACTCATATTCCAATAAGTAAGTATTTATGTAAGCTCCTTAAGAGAACACACAGCCTTTATTCACCATGTGTTCCCAACACCTCACACTACTGCCTGGCACATAGGAAATACTCAATTATTTACTGAGAGCGCCGAATCCTAACCACTAGACCACCAGGGAGCGTCTCAGTTATTTACTGAATGAATTAGTTAATGAATATCAGTTGTCAGAAAAAAAAACACCCCTCTAGTTTGTATTTACATTAATTTCTACCAACTAAGAATAACGGTCGGCTTAATTCATTCATTTATTCATCAATTCTCCAAATATTCTAAACATTCTACTGAATGAATGCCTACTATATATAAAACACTGCGCAACATGCCACAATCTACATAACACACCGTTCTAAATTCCTTACATGTATTAATACCCACAACAATCCAGAATGTACCTACATTATCATCCCCTTTTTACAGAAACGAAGCACAGAGTTTAACTTTCTAAGGATCACAAAAACTCACAGGAAGTGTATCTCTCCCCATAAAAACTTCAAATTTTCAAATGAAAAATAACCTATACATGCAAATAACTACAAAAATTGGCAATAAAGGCTAACCAGACAGGTAAAGACAAACAGAAGACATTTAGGACTGAAAGAATGGCACAAAGGAATGGGAAAACTAAAGGTTAGGTAGAACACAAAACCAAACAATAAGTAAACTATTAAACCCCCTGGGAAGAAAAATGATTCTCAAAGGTGAGCTAAAGGCATTTCAGATGGAGCCACACTAAGCACGATAGGAAATTTAGCATCCTGAGTCCCTGTGTTAATGCTGGCAGCAATCTCTAGATTGTGACAACCAAGGCCTTGCTGACCCATTTCCAAACACCACCTAGGAGAGCTGCATCCTGGCTGAAAATAAAAGGGAAAGAGGTAGGAGCCACAGAGTGGAAGGTTCCTGAGTACCACATTCACACTCTTATAATTTACTCAGTATTCAACAGTATTTATTTAAATTTTCTTTTTACTTAAAATGAATAAATATATCACATAAATAAAATAATTTGAACAAAATTAATGATAACATTAAAAAACAAAGTCTTCTCACTTCAGTCTTTCAGTTTTCCTCTTAGGAAGCAACAACTGTTAAGTTTCTCATGTATCCTTCTTGAAATAATGCGTAGATATATAAGCATATAAACCACTTTTAATTTTTACATGAAGAAAGGCATACTATACACATTTTTATGTATCTTGCTTATTCACTGAAGGTTGTTAAGCTTAAGAATGGCATCATATGTACATTTTAGAAAGAAGCAAGATAAATCAAAAGTTTTGGTGGGAAAGAATTGGTGGCTGTGGGAAGGAGAGGCAGTGAATGGAGCCAGAGGAACCAGATAGAAAGCTCCTGTTTAATAAGGTTTATGATGTCAAGAGTCTGTGATAGTTTTGAGGCCAAAGAAAGAATGGGTGGTAATTAAAAGAGAATAATCTGTAAATTTTATTTGAATCCTATTTCAAATAAGCCGACTTTAAAAATAATAAACAAGCAAAAACTAGGATAAAGTTAGGGACATCTGAACAAAGATGCACTATTAAAAGGTATTAAAAAATAAGTACTGTTAGGTTTGGAAATAGTATTGTGGCTATGCTTTTGAGGGATTGTCTTGGTATATAATAGAGATATATAGTAAAACATTTAGGGATGAGATAATATGATTTGCTTCAAAATAATCCAGACGGGTCGAGAGACAGAGGGGAAGCACTCGAAGATAAAACAAGCCAGGCTCAGAGATGACAGTTATTGATGCTGGGTGATAGGTACGTGGGGACGTGTCATACTACTCTCTATACTTTTGTACTTGAGATATCCATGATTAAAAATTAATTAAAAATAAAAGTGTTTCGAGAGAAGAGGCAAGATGGCGGAGTAGAAGGACGCTTGTAAGTCACCCTCTCCCACAAATACACCAAGACCCACATCTACAGACCCACTCAGCCAACCAGAGCACCTGCGGAACTCCGACAGAACATC